TGCTAAGGAAGCTGCACTCTGGTGTGACCATCACAAAGCAAGAGACCCAAGAACTCAAAAGGCAAACCTCACCAAGCCATTTATCCCTCCGCCCTTCAATTAATGCCACATGTGTTTATCGGCCAGGTTAACCTTCCTTGGCTGACTTTTGAAAGTAGACAACCAAGCCTTTCTTCCTAGTCTTTTTTCATCTGGAAGCACCAATGAAACTCTGTCCACCATGGGTGAGCATGCTTGTCTCTGAAATAGCAGTAGTACAGCTCCTAGGGTTGTAGTGCCTTCTAAACTCACTGCCAACGAGTCCATGCTGACTCACAGCCACCCTAGAAGACAGGGTAGACCTGCCCCTGTTTCTGAGACTGTCACTCTTTAGGGAGCAGACAACCCACCCTTTCTCCCTTGGAGCAGCTGATGGTTTCAAACTGTCGACCTTGCTGCTAGCAGCCCATCACGGAACCACTAAACATCATTAGCCAAACCCCACTGCTATCGGGTCCATTCCGATCCATGTGGCTGCTGATGTCATCGAGTTGGTTCTGATTCATGGTGATCTCATGCACACCAGAAGGAAACGCTGTCCGGTCCTGTTGTTTGAGCCCATCATGGCAGTCCCTCGGTCAGTCCATCTTGTCCAGGGTCTTCCTCTTTTTCTTTGCCCTTCCACTTTACCCAGCATGATGTCCTGCTCAAGAGCCTGGCAAACCCAAAGTACATGAAGTGAAGTCTCACTATGCTTGCTTCTAAGGAGCACACTGACTGAATCTCTCCCAAGGCAGATCTGTTCGTTCTTCTGGCCGTCCGTGATGCTTTCCATAGTCTCCGCCAGCACCCTGACTCAAATGCATCGACTCTTTGGTCGTCCTTCTGCAATGTCCAACTCACACATGCTCGGGAGGCCACTGGAAATATCATGGCTTGACTCAGACGCTCCTTAGGGCTCAAAGTAACATCCTTCCCTTTCAACCCTTTAAAGAGGTCCTGCGCAGATCGCCCAAATGCAGTGAGCCCTTTCGTCTCTTGACTGCTGCTCCGTGAGCATTGATTGTGGATCCAGGCAAGAGGAAGCCTTGGCATCTTCAATCTTTTCTTCATTTATCGCGATGTTACTTATCGGCCCCGTTGTGAGGAATTGGCTTTCTTTACATTGAGTTGTAATCCGTACTGAAGTCTGCGCTCCCTGATCTTCATCAGCAGGTGATTCAAGGCCTTCTCACATGCAGCAAGCAAGTAGGGTTTCTGACGTTGTAAATAGTTACAGGATCAAATAGCCTCATCTTTCTCCCTCAGAGCAGCTGGTGGTTTTGAACTGCTGACTTTGTGGTTAGCAGCCCAACGCATAACCACTGCGCTACCAGGTACAGTGCTAGCTAGGGACTTACCTCATTATTTAAACTTGACACAAAAATGTCTTTGACAGACAACTGAAAAGTGGGTGAAGGGAGACGTCAGACAGGGCAAGATATGACAAAATACCAATTTATAAACTATCAAGGGCTCATGAGGGAGGGGGGAGCGGGGAGGGAGGGGAAAATGAGGACCTAATGTCGGGGGTTTAAGTGGAGAGAAAATGTTTTGAGAATGATGTGCAAATGCGCTTTACACAATTGATGTATGTATGGATTGCGATAACAGTTGTATGAGCCCCTAATAAAATGTTAAAAAAAAATGTCTTTGAATAGTTTGTTTCTGTGGGATGATGGGCTGCACATCCATGGGGAGTGGGAAGGCACTGGAGCGGGGCATTTCTTGACTAGTTCTCACATGGCCACCTTGTATTCCGTTGCGTGGGGTCTGGCATGCATTACAATGTCCGGTCTCCCTGCTAATCGACCCGATGGACATGAAGCGATACCATCTCCACTGGGAAAATGGGGAGAGAGTGAAATGAGATCCTTCGACTGCATCGGCGGCCAGGCACAACACCACAACCGAAAAACAACAGTTGCTGTCGTGTGGGCGCCAACTCAGGGTGGGCGCCGCGTGTGGGTCAGAATAGCACTCTGCTCCACAGGGCCTCCGGTGGCCGGGGCTCACGAAGTAGATGGCCAGGCCTTTTCTTTGCAGCACCTCTGGGTGAACCCCAACCTCCTGGCCGGCAGTCGAGTACTTCAGCATTTGCCTCATTCTTAGGAGCCCTGGTGGCATCTGGTTATGGATGGGGCTGCTAATGGCAAGGTCAGCAGTTCAAAACCACCAACCTCTCTGAGGGAGAAAGATGAGGCTTTCTACTCTCGCAAACAGTCAGTCTTGGAAACCCACAGGGGCAGTTATACTCTGTTCCTATGGGGTCACCGTGAGTCAGCACCACTCGATGGCAGTAAGGTTGGCTCTGGGTTTTTTTCAGTCCACGGCTCAGGTTCCTTAACAGTCTGAGCACTTAATACACAGCGCCACCAGGAAGATAAAACAATGGCCTTTCATATGCCCAGGGGTGGATACTTTTCTTCTTCTTCCTCTTCTGGGAGCAGTACGAATTCACTGTTTTGTTTGCTTTTTCTGTGCCTAAATGTTCCAGCCTGGAGGATGGGCTTCAACTATCTGCCGACTTTGCAGAAGTGTGGCTGAACTGAAAGAAAGCCTGCTTTCAAAAATGACCCAAACATTCTGACAAGACCGACTGGCAGAATGCCGCCGTCACGTGTCGCCAGCCTCCCGAGCTGAAGGTGATTTGGAAAGGTTGTCAGCGTCCTGCTTTGCTGCAGCATGCCTCTGACGAGGGAGCAAACATGAGAAACTAAAGCGGGAGGTGGGGGGTGGTGGTAAACACCTAATCTGGTGTCAATTTAAGGATTAAGAGTGTAGGGGTGGCGTCTAGGCTGTCAGTCTGGTGACAGCCAATGAGACTTCTGTGTGCATGGCTTTCTCCTGAGAACTCTGGGAAATCTGGTACTTCCTCCTGGAAGGAAGAAGACACCTCTCTCTCCTTGCTACTCCCTGGGAGACACTGCAGAAGACAAGCCACATGGATGCAACCAGAACTCGGAAGCTGGAGAAGCCACAGAGAGACCCCTGCCAGCACTGAGATGCTTATAACGCCACTGGATCCAACTTTCCACCCACTGGCCTGTGATCTTCTGCATTGGGCATCATTGCATGAGTTTCATGAGTCTGAAGAGGACTTTATAGATTGATATCAGAAATAGGCTAATATCGGACTTATGGATTTGATCTGGACTGGGCTGGGATGTTTTCTCCATGTTCAATTGCTCTTGTATATAAATCTCTTTCTTACACACATAGACATGTCTGTGGATTTGTTTTTCTAGTCCGCCCACACTAACACAGGGTGGCTGTGAGGGGCACGGCTCTCTGTCATCTGAGGTCAAGGATTCTGTCTCAATGAATGGGCACCATGGTCCCACGTCCACTGGGGTTTCCTCTGCGGAAAAACAGAAGCGCCGGCTTCCCAACACCCAGGCCTTGGGCCCTGAGCTTTGCCCTCCCCTCTGGACAATCCCTGAGCAGCACACTCTTCTTCAAGGACGTGGGATGCGGGCAGCAGCCAGGTGGCAGATGTCCAGTGCAAGCCTCTTACTGTTATTCCGTGCTGTCCCGTCAGTTCTGGCTCAGAACCACCCAATGTCCAACCCAACAGATCACTGCCCGGTCCTGTGCCATGCCCACCATCCTGGCTGTGTCTGAAGCCCATTGTTGCAGGCACCGTGCCAGCCCAGGTCCTGAGGGCTTCCTCTTCCTCACGGACCCTCTACTTCAGCAGCAGGGTGCTACTCTCCAGGGTCTGGTCCCTCGTGACGATCCGATCAAAGAACGCAAGTGGAAGTCTTGCCATCTTCACGTCTACGGACATGCTGGCTGTGCTTCTTCCACGGCGTGCTGTAGTGGGTTACAACTGGGCTGCGGTTCAGCAGTTTGAAACCACCCAGCCATTGCTCGGGAGGACGAAGAGGCTGCCTCCTCTCATACAGACTTTCAAAATTTTAAAAATTCTCCGCTTTGCAGTCAACTCTGACTCGTAGTGATCCTGCAGGACAGGGGAGGGCTGCTCCTGTGGAGTTTCAAGACTGAAAACCTTTAAGGGAGTAGAGAGCCTCCTCTTTCTCCCTTGGAGCAGCTGGTGGTTTCCAACTGCTGGCCTTGCAGTTGACAGCCCAACGTGTAGCCCACGGATTTCAGAGACCCACAGGGGCAGCTCTGCTCTGGTCTGCCATGGGAGGTTGCTAGAAGTAGGGACCACGTCATCGAAGGCAATGCGTTTCGAGTTATACATGGGACCGGGGGTAGGAGCCCTGGGGTGCTTATCAGGTGGCTTTAGGGTTCTCTACACAGGTGGAGTAATAGGTATGCGTTTGGCTGTGATCTTCAAGGTCCGGAGTTCGAAACCACCAGCTGCTCCCTGGGAGAAACACAGGGCTTTCTACTCCCATAAACAATTTCATCACGGAAAGTCACAGGGGCAGTTCTACCCGGTCCTATAGGATCGCCACGAGTCAGCATCGAGAGCAGTGAGGTTTTTTGTTTGACACGGTTGCCAGCAGTGTTGGCATACGTGTTTGTTTACTTTGTATGCGCATACCAGGCACGGAGAACCTACTCAATACACAGCAAGAGACAAGCGCAGGAGCCTTGACAGAAGTCACTCGATCGGCAAGGGAACGAGAGGGGAGAGGAAGAGGCAGGGGTTCCCTGCTTACCCGGGGAGGCAGACCCCGCAGACGGCATCACTGGTGGCGCTGCAGTTGGCCTTTTGGAAGCGGTTGACCAGGGCGCAGTCGAGGCACGGCTTGCACTTTGGGAAGCCCCCGTCCTCCTTGAACCTGTGTGGCCTGCAGGCTACACACTCCGCGTCCTCCCCATAGCCAAAGCCACACTCCTGTGAAGGTGAGCAGGCAAGGGTGAGAGAGAGAGAGAGAGAGAGAGAGAGTCACTGCGGGTAGGAAGGAAGGGCGGACCAAAGCCCCAGGGAGATTACTACTGAGTGTCCAGCAAGGTTGGCCTATGAGTACACAGAAGCAGAGCTTTAAGCAAATAACCCACCAGCTGTCGAGTCTAGTCCACCTCACCGTGAGCCTATAGTTTCTGAGGCTGTAAATCTTTACAGGAGCAGACAGCCTCCTCTTTAGTAGCCTCCTCTGTGACCCTGCAGCAGCATCCTCACTGGACTGAAACAGGAGGAGGAGCCCTGTGGCACAGTGAGTTCACCATCAAGCTGCTACCTGCAAGGTGGGCAGTTCAAGGCCACCAGCCGCTCCACAGAGAAAGATGAGGCCGCCTGCTCCCACAAAGATGGACGGTCTTGGAAACCCCAGGGAGCAGTTCTATTCTGTCCGGTAGGGTCGCTATGAGTCAGAATCAACTCAGCGGAAGCGGCTACCAGAATCTAAAGGTGGTTAAATACCCACACGCCTAGCCACGCATCAAACCAGGACATGAGTAGGAAGCTCCTGTCTCCGGAAAGGAGGGGGCGTGCCTGCGAGATGGCCACAGGTGTCTGTACCCAGGAGCTGACCTAGCTGAGGTCGATTAGCAATTCTGTATTTCCTGGGAGTACAGTGATTCTTACCTATGCCTTGAAAGTACACCAAATACTTGTTTTGCTTAAAAAAACGAAAGAAAACAAAAAAAACTCTATAGTGAATAACATTCCCCAGTTTCTCTAGGGGTGGCCCCCAGGACAAACATTACTTCCCAGAGAGCAGATAAAACAAATGGCGCTCTGACCCACAAAAGGGCTCACGAATGGGAATAATCGCGATGGTGGCTCGGATCTGGGCAGTGTTTTGTTCAGGCCTGTGTAGCGTCATTATGGGTCAGAACTGCCTTGATGACACAACACGATCTACCTAAGGAGCGCCGGTGGCGCTGTGGGTTAGCGGCTGCACTGCCAACCACAAGGTCGGTGGTTCAAGCCCACCAGCTACTCTGACGAAGAAAGATGAGACTTTCTTTCTCATCCGTAACGATGGACAGTCTTGGAAACCCTGCAAAGTGTCGCTACGAGTCAGAATCGACTCCATTTGCTTGGTTTGGTTTGGGTTTCGATGAACATATGTCATGTCTATTTGTTCAAGAACTGGAGAAAGTATTTTGCTCTTGTGTGCCAATTCCGATTCACTGTGAGCCAGGGGGGGGACAGCGTAGAACTGACCCACAGGGTCTCCAGGGCTGGGATCTTTATGGGGGCAGGTAGCTTCATCTTTCTCCTGAACAGCCAACCTTTTTCAGTTGGCAGCCAAGTGCTGAAGCACTGTCCCACCAGGACTTAAAGGAAGTCCAGCCTATCATATAACCACAGAAAAGATGTGTTTGTTGACACAGGTCATGTTCAAGACATTTAAAAAAATAAGTGATAACAATTACAAGCATGATTCCATTCTGTCACAAAAACATTCATAATATTAAGTATTGGCATTTATAATTAATAATAAATACTAACATTTCCAGAGAAGCCCTGGTGGTGTAGTGGTTACCCACTGGACTGCTAACTGCAAGGTCAGCAGTTCAAAACCATGAGCTGCCCTGAAGGAGAAAGATGGGGCTTCCTACTCCCATCTAGAGTGACAGTCTCAGAATCCCACAGGGACAGCTCTACCCTGTCCTGTAGGGGCGCTATGAGTCGGCCTTGATTAACGGCAGTGAGTTTGAGTTTTGGTAACATTGACCGAGTGCTTAGTCCATACCAGGAACTGTGCACACATTTTCTCATAATCCATACTCCTCCCCAATGACACAAGCATGATCATTAACCCCATGTCATACATGGTGGGGCATGATCATTATCAATCCCATATCAAACATGGTGGGGCATGATCATTAATCCCATGTCATACATGGTGGGGTGGGAATTGAGCTTCAGAAAAGGGATATCGCCCCACCAGTGTCAAAGAAACAACCAACCAACCAAATCAGCTTCCACGGAGTGAACTCGCGGTGGAATCAGACAGAATGCCATGGGGCTTTCCATGGCTAAGTTTGTGGGTATGGGTCACCAGGCCTTTCTTCCAAGGTGCTTCTGGGTGGGCTCAAACCCCCAGCCTTTTCATGAGCGTTGGGGTGTGTGAGTCATCTGCGCCACTGGGGGAGGCTTCTCCAAGGTTTCAGAGCTAGCATGAGACCCGGGACTTGAACCCACGCCACTGACTTCCAGAGGCTGACTTTGATATCACTACGCTACAGAATTCCTTGGGTTCTTGGTGTGTGCCGTCATACATATTCACATAGAGAGAAAGAGGTCTGAAAAATTACGCACTCAGATGTTAACCCTTCGCGAGGTCTCGAACGCTCCAGGTTTTGAAGCTGGGCCGTTCAAAAGAACCTCAGCAACGTTAGGAGCAGCAAGAAGGGCACCAGGTGCATTGCATGTGTGTGAGACCTGACCGCAAGGCTAAGGGTGCGATGACCCACCCCCACCCCCTCCCGCTCCTGCACACACACACAGTGGAGACAGCCTTTGGGGGGGGCCTCCGCTTCCTCCTCTAGAAACCCCGGGTGCCTGAATTCGGTGCCCACGAGCTCCAAATGAGCCATATCTGCGCTGTATCTCTTCCTTTCCTCTATCTGAGCGGTGCCTCTTCCTCTCTCCTTCCGTGTTGAGACATGATGCCACCTCCCCGGTGGTCATGGGCCCAGGCTTCAGCTAACACTGCCCAGAGGCACAGACTCGCCTTGGCTCCCATCGGAGAAGATCACCCCCATCTGATGTCTTCCTGAGGGAATCATTCCCATGTTGCACGGGGACGCCCTCGCTGTCCATCCGTCTGAGCAGGACTCTTGAACATGCAGAGCAGAGAGTTGGGGACAGCGAGAAACTGCCATGTCTTTCACAACCTTCTGAATCCCGCTCGGCCCAGCTGGCCAATGTTTTCAGCGAGACGCGCCCAAACCCAGAACCAAACCTGCTGCCGGGCTCCGGTCCCACTCCTCGGCTGGACTGCTGAGACGGTGCATCTTTACCGAGAGACAGATGGACGCTTCACCACAGCTTCTCCCTGTGGAGCAGACAGCTTCCTCCTTGTCCTGGGGGTGAACTGCCAAAACCTGGAGAGGTCGGCACGCAGTGCTTAACCCACTGCGTCATCAGGGCTCTTGAGCTAAATAAGCGGAGAAAACACCTGCCATCGCGTCACTGAGCACGCACAGAGCCCCCGGACAGAGAAGAACTGCCCCCCTGGATTTCCCGAGACTGTGAATTCCTCTTTTTTCATATTCAAAATATTTTATTTATTTTTAAATAAATCATTTTATTGGGGGCTCGTACAGCTTTTTAAAAAACTGTTTTATTGGGGGCTCGTACAACTGTTATCACAATCCATACATATAGCCATTGCGTCAAGCATATTTGTACACATGTTTGCATCATCATTTCAAAACATTTTCTTTCTACTTGAACCCTGGGTATCAGCTCATTTTTCCTCCCTCCCCCACTCCCATGACTGAATCTTGGCGAGAACAGAAAACCTCCTCTTTCTCCCAAGGAGCAGCTGGTGGTTTTGAACTGTTGACCTTTGGTTACCAGCCCACTACATCACCAACTAATCTGCAGGCCTATGAAGCATAGAACATGCAGTAATGGCAATGAAGCTTAAAGCGCTCCTTAGTATGGTCAGTTTTATGAGAAGAAACGGGCACCATTTGCTCCACACCAATGAGGGGAGAGGCACAAGCGGAGGCAGGGGAACTGGGTGACTAAAAATGGTGGGGTGGGGTGGGGGGCGGGGGGAGGCTCAGGGAGAGAAAGGGACAGTGCTGACTCAGGGTGGGCATTGCAACCCGCGTCCCCGGTCCATCTGTGTATGAACTCTGGGTTGGAAAACTCATTAGCATGTAAACATTCACTTTAAAACAATAAGTTGTTTTCCTGTGATGGTTTCCCCATCCTGGTCTTTAACCAGGGAAGGCCCGGTGGCATAGTGGTGACAAGCTGGCCTACTAACCGCTCGGTCGGCGCAGAAGGAAAGGAGGAGCTTTCTGTTCCCATGGACTCACAGTCTCAGAATCCCACAGGGGCAGTTCTACCCTGTCGCATGGGGTCACTATGAGTCAGCATGGACTCGAGGGCAGTGAGCATGAAATGACACATGTTAATTTTTCAAACAGCCGGCCTTTCCGTTAGTTAGCAGCCAAGTACTCCACATCAATGTTGAGTAACTCATACTTGCCGTGAGGTCCAATGACCTAATTTTGCATCTAATGAAAAGAATACAACACATTTTGCTCCCTCCCCTCATATGTTTGGAATACCCAAAGCCCACTACCACCAAGTTAATTCTAATTCACAGCAACCCTATCTATAGAGTCTGAGACTGTAACTCTTTATGGGAGCAGACAGCCTCATCTTTCTCCCACAGAGCAGCTGGTGGGTTTGAACTGTAAACCACACAGTTAGCAGCCCAACACCTAACCCACTCTGCCACCAGGGCTCCTTAACGTTTGAATACCAAAATCGAAACCAAGCTCACTGCCATCGAGTGGATGCTGACTCACAGCAACCCTACAGGACAGGGGAGAACTGTCCCTGGGTGTTTCCAGACAGTGAGTCTTCACAGTGTCAGACGGGCTGCTCTGTAGTAGAAAGCCCTGCCTTTCTCCTGTGTTGCTGCTGGCGGTTTCAAACCTCTGACCGTGCAAGCAGCAGTCCAATGCGGAACCACTACACCACCAGGGTTCAACTTTGAACAGAAAGGGGCAGTTTCCTCTGGTCTCTAATATTTCTCGGCAAGCTGGTCTGATACAGGAGCAGAAGAAGACAAGGCCCGTGGGCTAAAATGAAGAGCCCTTCAAGAAGGATGTCAGCGAGCCACACGCACGGTGCGGGGTTCGGGCTGCGTGCAGCAGGTCTGGGTATGCATGGATGTGTGCTCTATGGGGCTGTGG